TGCGCCCGGTGATCTCTGACCCCAGAGAGAGCAGAGTCTGTTCTGGCTGCGGCCCATCACCCGCACCCTGGGGAAAGGGGGGGACACGGCGCCACACAAAGGTGTCCATCTGCCGGACACTCCTCCCTCCCCCGGCCAGCCACAGATCATGACTTCCCCAGCACCGACTCGCGCTCGCCTGAAGTCTCTGCTAGTTTTTTTTTAAAACAGGGTTTGGATATTTCACTTTCTGGCAGCAACACAAAGAACGGGACAAAGCTACCGTCCCATGACGGTCAGAACAACCGGATTCTCCTAATCCAGGATCCCCTCCCCAAACCACATCCTACTCACCAGCGAGTCGGAACGACACAACCGCGTTGCCAAACCTGCCCGGGAATTGCGAGCGGGCCGCTGGCTGGGAGGGGCGCGCAGGCACCCAGTGCGGGTCACTTCGAAGGTGACCGCTGCCAGCCGTGGCGGTCACAGTTGGTGAGTTGGAGGTCTCACCCTGCCACCCTCCGTCACCATAACGGGGGGAAAAAGGGGAAAAAGCAGCAGCTGTGGCCCTGCGGCATCCCGCTCCCGGGAAGAGGCACAGCTTTGCTTGGACACGGGCGCCCGAGTCCCTGTGGACAACGGTGCTTCTGCTGTACCGTAATGCCGTGGGGGGAAGGCAAGACGCTCCTGTGGGAGCCGTTCGGTCCTAAACAAGGAGGAAACACACCCACGGTGCGGTGGGACCATGCTGACAACCTCCCCTCGAAGGCAGCTCTGCTAATTACACCACCTCTGGCACCAGGAACAAGTCCTACGGATGTCTGTCTCATTTGTTGGGAACAAACCCCTCACCTGTGTCTTTCCCCTCTTCCTACGCTGCCGACAAGAAATCCCTGTTTTGTCAGAGTGCTGACAGCAGTGGCGGGTAAAAGGGGGCCACTATAACACAGGGTCATGTCAGCAGCTCAATATGTAATTAAATGTTTCTGTTCCCCAATTAATAAAGAAAATAAGAGATTTTGGCTACAGGAAGAGAGCGGTTTTCCTTCTGCTTTACTAATTTCTTGTGAATGTTTACCCACCGCTGCTCGCTTGGGAACAGCCGACCCCCCTCCCCGAGTCACCGCAGAGCGGCTTTGCCGGGGGAAGGGGCTGCAGAACAGCTTCTCCGTTCCCGAAACTGCAGCTCCAAAGAAACCCCCTGGCACCGGTCCACCGGTCACGGACACAGACGTTTCCTCAGGAGCCGCTCTCCCAGCCCAGTGTCACCCCTTTTTCTGATAAAGCAGTGACATTCCCAACCCAACAGCTTCCCAGCGCTCCGCGGTCTCCATAGGAGAGCCCGGACGAGCTCGTGCACCCGCGCGCTGTCCTGCCCGTCTGGGAGCTCCATCAGGCTGCAGACACTTTGCCAATGTTATTTCCTCCCGTCCCCCTTTTTTTCCTGTTGAAGGCAGGAGGACCCTCACGGCACAGCACCGCAGTGAAATGAAAACACGGAGGGAGCTTTTTCATTCTAACATAGAACAAATGCTTTTATTGCACTTCTGGAAAAACCTGCATAGTCCTCACAAAGGGGATCCCCCCTCCCCCTACTCAGAACATTTGGTTTAAAACAACTGCCGCAGCTCAAACACAAGTACTGGCCGCCCGCAAAAGGAAATCCAACCGGGGCACGTTTTTTGACAGAAAGTCAATGAGAAAAAAATCCAAACCAAACCACCACCAACCAAAAAGGAGCCGATTCCAGCCCTCGCTGCTGTCAGCAACCCTGATCCGGCACGGGAAATCCCCCAGAGGCGAGGGGGGAGGCTCCCCGCGGACCCCAGAGGGGAAAATCCCATGGGGTGCGGTGATCTCCCTTAGCCAGCGGTGAGGGCTGCGGCACGGCGGCAACGCCAACAGTCCCGTCACTGCCAATGTTTTGCTTTGCCCTTTCCCAGAGGGGGACTCCGGCAGATTTTCTTTGGCAGTGAAAAAATACAAGAGGCAAATGCCCGCTCGGCTTGGCCAAACAGGCAGCTGCATGCGCGACTGCCCCCATCCCACAGGGCGTGGGCCACCGCTCTCCCTGGGTCTCGCCCCGTCCTCCGGTCCTGCCCGCCCACCCACGGCTCCAGAGGGTGCTCGGCTGCGCCTGCCCGCCCTGGGGACAGTGCCACGTCCCAGCGTTTCCCCATACAAGATGCTGTACGGGGTAGGTCAGGAGTAACTACGCGTTTCAAGGTGACGCTCAAATATTGACTTTGCATTCGAATGAGACAGAGCGCTTCTGCCGCTTGACGTCACAGCCTGTAACGTCTCAGACCCCGGCAGGCATCGCCCGCTCCTGGCAAAGGACGGTCCCTCAGGAGCGGGACACGCTAACGCCAACGGGCTGCACGTTAAAGGACAGGCGCCCTGGGATGGAGAAAAGCAGGCAGAGAGGGGCGACGCTTGAGGCAGCTCACGCCATCTGGGAGCTGCAAGCAGCCCATTTCTGTTTCTCTAAAATCTTCGTGCAAGCCCAAGAACGGGAAACTTGCATACTAGCATGTGTTTATCCAACTCTTATTCTTTACCAGAGTATCTTGAGAAGAAACCTCTGTGGTTTTGCCTTATCTTCCTACAGCAAGTTTGCCCTCTGCTCCTGACAAACCCCCTGTAACGATTCCCCAAACCTGCACACACAGACCAAATGGGTTGAAACCAATTTCTCTTAGCAAAGACAACCCGAGAGGAGTGGTGGGAGCCCAACTTCAGGCCGCAGAAGGAAACGGGGAATAAGAACAGCTATCCAGAGCCGACATTCAGCCATAAAACGCCCAACCTCTCTTCAAACCACCCAGGTCCCCCGAAGCCGCTCCCCTGTGCAGCCTTCTGCAGCTCTGGCCGTGTTCCCCCTCCCTCCCGAAGAGGAGCGCGCCTCCGCAGCTGAGCCTGCCAGCATCCGCCTGCCATCTACGGGGAACCCTCCATTCAGTCCAACAAGCCGAAACCAAAGCACATCTGGAGAGCGCTCAGCCATTCCTTTGAAATTAGCTTTGCACAACTCCGGGAGGAGGAATCCTTCCTCGGCAGCTCTGGTGCAAAAGTCGATTAAATTCTACTATAACATAACGCGATGGATGGTGCAAATACATCTCTCCTCTCACCACCAGAAACAGCCGAGCGTGCTACAGTGCAAGCGCCAGGAATTTAAGCGAGCGTTTCCAAGGCTCCTTTCATTCCCTTCTAGCTCGGCTCTGGACGCTGCCCTGCCCACAAACAGCATGGAAAAGGTAAGGCAGGCAGCCGGTCCCTACCGTCCATGTCTTCTCGTCCCAAATAGGAGCACCAGCGGTTCCTCATGATCTCGATGGCATCCAGGTCCTCTCTGGAGATCTCAAAGTTGTTCATGAGGTGCATGCAGGGGATGATCAGCTCGTTCAGGATGCCCACGCCCTCTGCCACACGAGCTTCTTCACGGCTGACGAACAGCGATGCCGCCACCTCGTTCAGCTTCTGGAGGAGGAGGGAGAGTCAGGGTCAGAGTAGCCAAGAGCAACCGCGGCCCTCAGGACAGGCGGATGGCTGGGGCCCTTCACCCATAGCCACGCGGAGACCCAGGGACTAGCAGAACCGGGCACCAGGTTCTGGTGGAAGAGCCACCTTTAGCCACAGCAATCACACCACAGAAAACAAACTGATAAATACACATGCTTAGATACGTGGAATTTCCTCTACGTACAGAGCGCATACAGCTTATTTCTAATTCCGGTTTTAAGATGCCAAGATCCGGGTTTGCCTTTGCCCAGACCCCCCCGAGAGCTGCACTGCACATTCGTTGAGCGAATTATTCTTTGCTGGGGTTCCGTACCACTGCTGGCACTCTGTAAGGGGCAGGAGCTGCTGTAGCAGCCACAAGAGGCAGTTACGCCGCCCTTGGCAACCGCGGGGCATGAACTAGAAACAAATCTCATCTTCATGCTGTTTTTTCACCCCCTGCGGAAAAGGACATCATCTTTTGCGCAGAGAGAGAAAGCCATTAGGAGTAGAAAGAAATACTGGGGGGGAAGGAAGAGAACAGACAGCAAATGACGCCGCCACCAAGTTCACCAAGTTAAAGCCCCAGAGGGTGTTGAGCAGGATCCGAACCTTCCCCGAAGAGGCAGCACATTAATTAAGGGTGGTCCTAAAAGGGGTCCAGTCCCCTGGGCAAGGCAGACCGAGCAGCTGGAAAGCGAACTGTGCCGCAGGAGCCGACGTCACCCGGGCTGCTCCCTGCCCGCCTCTCCCCGGCCGCGCGTGGAGCTCCGCAATACCAACCAGGAGACACTTCCTTCTGTAGAGGGCAATCAGCGACTCGCTCACTCCTCTGCCGGCTCCCTTCAGCAGCAGCCTGCTGTTGCTCTGGTAGGCGTAGACCAGGTAGGTGAGGGACTCCTGGTACCTGGGGGAGACAGCCGGCTCTCAGCGCCCCGACCACTCGGGGACGGGCTCCACTTGGCTTGCAACCACCCCGGCAAAAAGTGCTTCCCTGCCAAAGCAGAAACGGACAGCTGCCCCACGCCAAGGGATTAACGCTCCCTTTTGCCCAGCGCATCGCAGGAGCGCCTCAGGAAGAGCCCTTCGGAGCCCAGCGTGCGTACAACCCGCCCTGGCGTGGGTGCCAGCGTCGAGGCTTTCCCGTATTGCTCCGGGAACTTTGCACTTTGAGAGAACGCCCAAAGAAGCACGGAAGGCGATGCTTTCAGTTTCTTGACATATTTCTAGCTTATAACCCCCCTGGTGAGGAAACACAACAGCGGTTAGGTCAATGCAGGGAAGCTCCACCACGCGCTGGCCCAGCCTCTTCTCAATTTGCCCGCCGGAGCCTGGTGGCCCATCACTGCTGACGGCCTCAGAGTCCCATTCTGTTTCCATCCACAAATAATTGCCGAAAGCCACGTTATTCTCCACATTGGGAAAACCACTTTTCATGTGACAAACCCTTCGTAAAATGGCACTGTCCTTCCCCGCCCCTCGCTATGTAAAATACAGGCTGCAAAGGAGTAGGGAGAAAAAAAGGCCCTTTTAAAATTCCGAAGAGTCCAGCGTACTCCAGAGCGTGTGTTTATGCAAAGTATAATGTCCATTTAAAAAAAAGTGATGGCAATCATTCCTGCAACCCCACCTCTGGAAATGGGAACATAAAGCTCCACTTCACAGAGGGAAACATTAGGGGCAACTCTACGAAACTGTCAGCCGGCGGCAGAACGGTTAAACTGCTCACCAAGGGGGACTGGGGATTCAAGAGGGCTCTCAGCAAGTCAGAGAAAGCCCCTCGGCCTCAAACATGAGGCTGAACGCAAACTGGCCAGCGTGGGTGGGGAAGAAGAGGCTCTGCCAAAGTGGCGTTTGCTTTTCAGCTGTAGCTTTTCCCGTCCAAAGACACAACTGCAAGTCACTTACTTTCTGTTCTGGTACAGCTCCAACCCCGTCAGCAGGTAAACCGACACCTTGCGGAAAAGGCTGTAGTCTTCGTGCCATCTCTGTTGAGGAGCAGCAAGAAAGCGGAGCGTCAGCTTCACCTGTGACACGCACACTCACCTTCCTTCGCGACTCAAGAGCACATCAGATTTTACCCTTGCAAGGGTTTAAACCCCTCTCGTAAGCCACACACAGGTCCATTCAGTCACATCCCCCAAAGCTCGGGAGACCCCCAGTGCAGTCACTCCCTCTTCCAGCACCCCTGCGCAGACAGACGCAGCGCGGGAGCCGCCGGCACGCCTGCTCGCCACGGCCGCCTTTGCCGGGGCCACTCGGCGCTGCGCTCCCCGCTTCCCACAGCACGAAGGGTCAACGGCAGCACCCGGGTCCCTTACCTTGTACTCCTCCATATCCACATCGTCAGGACCGATTTCTCTCAGCTTGGCTCGCGCCACCTTCATAATGCTGATGGACCTGCTCCGTGTAAGCAGAGGTGGAGACAATCAGGACAACGGCCCCGGCTGCTTCCCGACGAGCGAAGCCTCCCCTCGGAGCCCATGGCACAAACCTTTCATCGTAGCTGAGGTTTTTGTCCGCAAACTGCTCGAGAAGGGTCCGTTCCACCACCTGCTGGGGAGCGTTGTTCTGCAGGAAGTAGACGAGCACGTGCTGCAAGCGGGCGTCGTTCTGAGGGGTGGGGGTCTCTTTGGCCAGCAGGTAGAGCCGGGAGTACTCCTCGTGGAACGCCTGCCAACGGAACACACGGACTCACACGTCCGCTCTTTTTTTGGCCACGGCAGCCGGTACGAAGCTTAACCCTGTCCCGTAATGATGGGATTCCACGGGTGACACCCGGCCTCTGCCACCGGGCTATATTGCCGTGGCGAGTGGAAGCCCACCTATGCCCAGAACCGGCAACAAAAAGCACCCGCAGCAAGGCAAACCACAGGCACGGAGCCGGCGCTTCCCAAGGGCACCGAGGAGCCGACCGGCCTCCCAGAGAGCGGGGCATACCGCTGCCTCCGACAGTCCCGGTAAGACTCTTCTGAGTGCTGAGGTTGTAGGAATCGACTGCAATACGCCTACATCTGTAGTAAGGTGCCAGAGTATCTCGTGATTTATCTTCCCGGAGAGTCACAGCACGGGTGATTTCTCCCGTGTGGCATTTATAGTTAAATCTACCCGCCTGCAAAATCTAACACCAGTTTCAATATTCAGCAGCGCTTACTCTTCCGCATCGCTCCGTTCGAGGCCTACATGCCTTGAGGACACGTTTTACAAGAGAGGTCACAGTAAGCGTGCATGTTCAGGACCAAAAAAAAAAAAAAAAAAAAGTAATTTCACGAGTGCTGGTTTATTTTCTGCCGATGGCACTGAGGACCCAGCCAAGAGATTCTGGAAGGCACGCCAAGAAAGGCTGCTTTGTGCTCTCCCAGATGGAGAGAACTGCCAATACTAAAAGAATAAGCCGAAAAACCAGTGAAAAATCAAAAAAGAAAAAAAGGCGGTCATTTCTGCGGGTAGGAGGGAGTTCTGTCTCACAAGCTCTAAAAAAATTGCGTAGAGCTGAAGGACGTGCTGTCACAATGAGAGAGCAGAAACAGAAACGCGGGACAGAAAGGCCATTAACTCAAAGAAAAACTGCACAAATCGCTCCCTTCACATTCCTGACATGTCAATACAGCATAGATTCTTCATTCTGCGAAAACAGACATCCATACGATTGGATTTAGCAAACAAATAAGATACCTTAACGAGCCCTGCTTCAGACCCATCTCGATCAAAGGTCTGGCGGGCTTTTGCAATAGCCAGGATGACGCCTTGCATGGCCGGACTCAGCATCACCTACCACGACAGCGGGAAGACAAACACAGACAAGAAGGAGGAAGACGGTAACAGACAGGGAAAGAAGAGAAGGCACGGTGAAGAAAGGAATACATTTTGCAAGGACAAGGCGGAAAGGCAATCGTGTGAACACAAGGTGGAATAAGCCAGAGCCGTGATTCACTCGTGCGCTACTGACTCCATCCAGCACACGCACTTCACGCGCAGCGGTGTTTTACGCGCTGAAAGGTCTAAAGGCTGCTCACTCCGAGCCCCGAGTTTGCAAACTCGACATGCGAGACCGCAAAGCTCACCAGCCATACCCCCTCTGTGTCCCCTTCAGTCCTCTCAGGCAGCACAGACGAGAGCGCAGCGCCGCCGGGAGCCGTGCCCGCTGCCGCCTCACACCAGCACAGATCAAACACGCGGAAGCGGCAACGGTCTGGGGGTGGGTGTGTGAAAGCCAGCTGCACTTGGGGAAAAGACCACGCTTCCAAAATGCCGCCTGGGTACGTTTGAGCGCGGTTAACCAGTCAGACTCAACGAGTCCGTAGCTAAGGTGCCGTAAGTCATGCCGTTAGCTGTTAATGTCTTAGCAAGAGGGGATCAAACTCTACCTGAAGACAGTGGAGAGGCTTGTCAATAAATTAATACCGCTACGATCAATTTCGATATAGCTGTGCCAGAAATAAGACTGAAAGGAACAACGTGCAGATCTAACGATTGAGTGCTTTTCCAATGGCATTTGGAAACGGAATTACTGAACGATTTGGTCTGGCCGCCTTCATTTCCACTGTGGGGAAAGGGACTCTGTGAACAGCGCCGTTTCCCTGGCAGACTACTGTCGCCCCCGACCTCCGGAAAGCTCAAAGCCAGCTAGCTACAAAGCTACAGGGTAACGACCGGCAGTAATCAACCCCTGCACTGGGATGTGTACCTCCTCATTATATCCGTCTGCATCGGATCTAACGGGAATCTTCCCCACACTGGGGATTTCCACTTCAGAGACCTGTGAGCTACTCTGGGCAGCAGGCGCTGCTTCCCGAGCCTCCTGCGGTTGCTCTGCCTCAACGGTAAGGGCTGTCTCTCCCGGCTGGGCCTTCACTGGTTCTACCTGCTTGGGCTGTGGCCAAGAAGAAAAAGAAGACAAGGAGTAAGAAAATCCAAAGCGAAATCCAGGACAGCAAGAGGGGACTGAGCTAAACGTGGCAGAGCTACAGAATTCCACAGAAATGGAGAAAGCGAAGCCCTGTCAAGCAGAAGAATACAAAGAGAAGACCGCGTCGCTTCCTGAGCGCAGCCCCTACCTCGCAGAGCGCTGCCTCAACGCCGTTCTTCTCATAGGCGTCGGCGGTGTTTGCGATGGCCTTGGCAGTCTGCTCCTTGGCGATCCTGGCGTGCTCAGAGGACAGGGAGCGCACGCTCTGCTCGCAGACTGGTGACTGATCTGTCAGGACAGAGGTGTGGGATTAGCGAGCACGAACGGCACCGTTTCTTCTCCTCTCTTCTTCTAAAACGTTTTCATTTGTGGCTTTGGTAAGCCGGGGGTCCAAGCAC